ATAAAGTATCTATCTATCTATCTGTCTATCTATCTATCTGTGTTGTTGTTTTTTTTGCAGGAATGTAAATGTCTGAGGACAAGGAAGCCCAGGAGGATGAGCTGCTTGCTTTAGCAAGTATCTATGATGAGGAGGAGTTCCACCGGGCCTCGTCTGCACAGGGGGGAGAGATCCAGGTCTGTCTGGAGCTCCCCCCTGATTTCAAAGTTGTTGTCAAAGGTACACCCGCCGACAAGCTTTGTAAAGAAACGAAGGTGCACGATTCAAGCAGAACTCATTACACGAGGGGGATTGTCTTTTATGCTCTCATCCTCTCCTGCTCTTATTAAGGCGTTCGTTTCCTCTCTGTGTGTTTCAGGAGAGAAGCAAACTGAATACAATGTCTGCTTCTTACCTCCTTTGGTGCTCAACTTTGAGCTTCCTGCAGACTATCCATCCACATCCTCACCAGTCTTCACTCTCAGCTCTAAATGGATGACCAGAGCACAAGTAAGACTCACGCGAACTCACTCAATTCTTATGTAATTCTGTAACTATACTATACAAAAGCGGACCCGAATATGTGAGCAAGGTTTGCCGAACTATTCAGATGGAGAGTCGATACCTGTTTTCCTTTGTTGCCTCCTCAGATGAGCGCTCTGTGCAGACGTCTGGATGAGCTGTGGGAGGAGAACCACGGCTCCGTGATTCTTTTCACGTGGATCCAGCTGCTCAAAGAGGAGGCTCTGGACTTCCTGGGCATCCAGTCTCCTCTGGAAGTCATCAGGGGAGGAAGTAAGGCAGGTAGCGAGCGCAGGAAACCCGACCCTGCAGCCACAGGTACAGGAGGTGTTTTGTTAGAGGAATGTCGTCATTTGGCTTTTGTGGATGCATCTGTGTTAGCCTCGATAGCTTTCTAATAGTCGTACCAGCATGTGTAGGAATAAAAAGTAAATCATATTTAGTATAACAAACTGAATAAAGAACGCACTGGGTCATCAGTCAATTTACCTGTTAAGTAAAATCAATAATTTTTGCATTTTGTTCAGCTCTGACGCAGGGTGGAAGTCATTCCGAAACTGCTGAGGAGAAGAAAAAAGACATGAAGAAGGAAAAGTCTGAACCGCAGTTGTCTTCGTCTTCTCAACTGGACCCGCGGGCAGTTCTGTTGATGGACCCGCGTGCCGACCTCCTACCTCAGCTCCTGGACTTTGACGAGGCGCAGCGGCAGAGGGTGTTTGACAGCAAGGTGTTCTGCTGTGGCATCTGCTTCGTAGAGAAGCTGGGCTCCCACTGCCTCTGCTTTAAGGAGTGCCAGCATGTCTACTGCAAGGCCTGCATGACTGAATACTTCCAGATCCAAATACGGGACGGCAACGTTCAGTGCCTTAACTGCCCTGAGCCCAAATGTACCTCCTTAGCCACACCGTTGCAGGTAAGTGTTTACGTGCCCGTGTCGGTCTGGAGCTCGAATGTCACTTCACAATTGAATAAGTGCCTTTTTCAGAAGAGAGTTTATATAAATTCCCACCACATCAATCCCTCCGTCTTCATCTCTCAGGTGAAGCAGCTGGTGGATGAGGAGCTGTTTGCCCGTTATGACCGTTTGCTGCTCCAATCCAGTCTGGACCTCATGGCCGACGTGGTCTACTGTCCCCGTCTGTCCTGCGGCACCGCTGTTATGGTGGAGCCAGACACAACCATGGGCATTTGCTCAGCCTGCCAGTATGCTTTTTGCACACTGTGCAAGCTGGGTTATCATGGTCTCTCCAACTGTAAGATCCCTGCAGGTAATGTCACAGAGAATACAGTCATTTTGTTCCTAAGGCAACAAGAGGAGAATAGTTATTTTGTCAGGGTTGTTATATATTGATGTAGTTTAACGCTGCTGTCAGCTGAAAGAATCTTGCGTTCCTTGGGTCAGCTTAATAAGACCTGGGAGTGTTTTTTTTAATCTTTTGCAATGGTGAAACAAAATGAGCGGTGTCACTGAAAGACTTGGCGGTGTAGCAACAGGTTGACTTATTTTTTTTATGTTTTATTGGAGGAAAATGCACAATTCTATGTTGAGTTATGTCACAGTGCTAACATCCTGCTTTGGTCTGCTGCATTTATACTATGTGAATGTAAGGCATATATCCTGTTTCATCATTTCTTCTTCATTCTCTGTCTGCAGCCATGCAAACGCTAAAGTAACATTTTTGAGATAACCTCTTTGAGGGTAAAAGGAGATAATACTCTCATGAAATCAACTTATTTGCAACATTTCATACAGCATTCAGCTGGCAGGCGCATATAAATATTAAATATAAGGATATAAATATCACTCTTACTACACTTTAAGTGCATTACATTTCATAAACTATACTTAAACTAAATATACCGTTTTGATGTTCGGTTTTGTAAGCCAAACACACATCTTAAAGTGTTGTCTGGAGTCGAGACATAATAATAATAATGTTTTTTATTTGCTGTATTCATAAAATATATTTTTTAAAGATGTTCAAGAGATACATTTTCCTAATTCCAACCCTGAGTCCTCAGGTTAAAACCAGCACTGACCCTGTCATCTTTCTTGTACTACAGATGAATTGCGTAACCTCAGAGATGAGTACCTGTCAGCCACAACTGAGGGGAAAAAGTTCATGGAGCAACGCTTTGGGAAGAGGGTGATCCAGAAAGCAGTGGAAGAATCCTTTAGCAGAGACTGGCTCAATGAGAACTGCAAATGCTGTCCACGCTGTGGAACCAATATACAGGTTTGGCTCCCCCTGCTGGTCACAGTGCCATAGAACAGGTTTTTACTGAATCAACGGGTCAGTATTCACTGCCGACTGTTTTAAATGTGAAACAAACGGAGCATTTCTTTTCATTTCTAACGTTTTACACAGAATGAGCGAAGCTAGTAAAGAGGATTTGGGACTATGTCCAGTCCCAGGTTACGTCAGTGACAACTGTAAACTGCTGTTGGCTGAGTCCTCTCCCACTAATGCCTTGTCTCTGTGTCTTTCTAGAAAGTGGATGGCTGTAACAAGATGACCTGTACCTCGTGTAAACAATACTTCTGTTGGCTGTGTCTAGGTCTGCTCAGCAAAGTCAACCCGTACAGTCACTTTAATAACCCACATTCACCCTGTTACAACCAGTGAGTGACACCGTTTTCTCTTTTTTTGTTCACCATATCAAACACTTCAATCAATCAGTCAATGAAACTTGCTGTCCATCAGTACAAACATTGGTTGAATGTGTCTTTTCTTGCCTGTTGCAGACTTTTCCACGGTGTGGATCTCGATGAAGAAGATGCCTTCTGGAGTGATGAGGAGGACTGACAGCAGTGGGGCACCTCACTGCTGTATCCCCCCCTTTTTGAATGCACTTTATCTCACCTAACCATCACACATTACCCCTGCATTAGCACAACAGTGCCACGTCAACCATGTACCATCGTTAATGTTTTGAATATGATCAGACATCTTTGGTATAAAACATTTGATGTATAGAAAGTATTCAGTCAGGAATGGCAAGCACAGTTTCAGATTTTTGAGAGAAATAGCAAACTGTGACTCATGCGTTTCTTAAAAACTCACTTTTTTTACTTATGGTCATCAAGGATACACACTTGGATACGTGATTAGTGGCCTAGCAAGTTAACAGAAAAAAAAAGCCAAATTTTGGTTGAATTTCTCTGGATTATACGGTAGATTAATGTCTACAAGTCTACTGTCGCTCCTTAATTGAACATACACTTCATTGTGACGGGTTTTGATGTCTCGCAGGCTTACAATGAACAAGAGGTGATACTGGAATCGCGGATTCAGTTTGGTAAATTCAAGGTGTTAGCTTTCAATTAGCTAGCGACTATCCCTTGTAAGTGTTGGGTTGGAGGGAAAAGGAGGAGTGTGCATTTGCCCTTTTTGTTATAATAAATATCCTAATGGTTATATTAAGTATCTACCCTTTGGCTAGCTTTCTGTCATATGTCAAAAGTATGACACAAACTAACAACCTTCAAGGTGGATAATACAGTTAATTTTGTGATCTAACCAAGACTCTTAGACACACACACACACACACACACACACGTTTAAAGCAATGAAGGCAATGTACTCTCATACTGTGTTTTGTCAGGGTGTGGTTTTATTTTACCTTTTTACTGAAAATTATGTTTACATTGGCTTTTTCTTGAGATGAGTTAATTTACAAGGGAAATGTATTTGTCTTTCAGCAAGGCCAGGTGAAGAGAGGGATTTCATGATATTGGTTGTGGGGAGTGGTTTCATAATTAGTTTGAGTCACGTGTTTGTTCATATAGAGTTTAATAATGGAGAACAGTAAATAATCCTCTGATGGGGGATACAGGGATGGTGGTTTTGGTGTGTGTGTGTGTGTGTGAGAAAGGAAATCCTCAAGTGGTAAACAGCAGAGACATTTAGGGAATGATTTATTCACACCCTTTGTACAACATTTTTTTTTAATGTTGCCAAACATTAGTGTCGAAGAGAGGCCATAGAAACTTGATGTCTTGTCTAGGGATACAAAAAATGATTTTGTATGATGTTAATTTATTTTATTTTTTTGTTTTTACATTTACATGTAAGCAGTTCTGTTTGAAATTGAACGCTGCATCAAATCTGTTCTTTTTCAACATTGAATGATTTGTTCCCCACTGCTTCAGAAGTTCAGACGACTTTCAGAATTGATGCTGATCTGGACTGTTGAAAAGACAATCTCTAGTTCAGTCATGGATTAACTTTTTTGTTAATGCAGACCCACTGTGGCGTCATGTCTCATGTAAGAAACATCTGAAACATACTGTTCCTTAAAATAAATGTTACCACTTAACATTTTGTCTATTTTAATCATTGGCTCAGAGGCTGACACTTTGGTGCCAGCATAATTCTTCTGCCCTCATTATGTGTGTAGATGCACAGTTATCTGGCAAGCTAAACACACATCCAATAAAGGTTGAAGATAACAATTTGAGTTTTTTACTGAAACCAATTGTGTAAAAGCTGCATTAGACAATAAATTCAATGATGGTGATTATAAATCAGAAAAAGGTTAAACAAGACTTGAGACCAAAGCTGTTGTAAAATAAGTTAGTTACATTGTGCTTTAAAGTCAGGCAGAAATAATCACCAGGAAATGATCAACATGAAGTCCCCATAGGAAGTACAGCACAGTAAACATACACATTAAGTCCACATCTAAAAAGAGAAAAGAGTAAAATGCACATCTCAACATCTCAACAGTAATTCAGCAGTTAGAATGTTGCATTAGCAATATGTTAGCTCAGACAGCTAACAGCTAGCTTTGTTAGGAGTGAGGTGACCATAGAAAAACGAAATTCTACAAAATAACAAATAGATTATAAAACATAATGAAACAAGAAGGCTTCCTACAGACACTGTTCTAACAAGGGTGTGTGAGGAGTGGATAAAAGATTAACCAATCAATATTTGCTTGGGCAGAGAGCTGACAAAATGGTGGATGTAACAATGTCAGTTGAGCTGCTATTGAAAGTAGCAACACCCCAACTGAAACTAGCTAAAAACCAACTGCCAGTTGCTGTAGTTGTTCCTCACAACACAACAAAACTTCCAATATGGTGTCAAAGAATATTAACATGACACAGTATGCCTCCTTTGTTACAATGAAAAACAAATGTCTCGCAAGTTTTTGCTTTTTTCCGCCCGTACAAGAGTGGACGTTTACACTTAGCATTGTGTTTCACACACAACAGACACTGCTGACTCACCCAAGTATGAGACTAGGTGGGCAAAATTGAGCTAGAGCACCAAGACTTCAAGTCCCGTTTCCTCTTAGCTACTGTACAATGTAAATGTTTATTTTCACATAAGTAATACAATACATAATTTACAGAAGTGCAGGAGAAACCAAGAATTTGTTTTTTTTCCCCCCATTCTCCTATTTTATAGTTGTAAAAAGACAACATTCAGGGAAAAAATACAGTTAGAAACCATTAAAAAAGTAAAATGTATGAATATATAAAATTATTTTAACATTATTTAGCAAGAATGCTTCAAATACTTTAAAAGCAATGAAGCAAATCCTGATAAAAGACTTAGATTCATCAATTTAGACTACAGCAGAGGGTGTTGAATCTGATACAAGGCTTTTATTAAACTTGAAGAAATGTCACCTTTATATATATATTGTTAAGGTGCTGTTAAATTTTTCTTCATTTCGACCAAACATTTAGTCTGAAGAGTTAAGATCACTTAGAATGAAATGTCAAAATCAGAAATATTAGTAAGTATTTAACTGTTTGATTTAAAAAAAACAAACTTTCTGCAGTGTTTTAGCTATAGTGCAAATATATAATAATATATAACCCTAACCCTAACATCTTGCTACCTGAAACGTGACCCATAATTACCCTGTAATCCAGAGGTCAGGCTGTGACAGAGAGAGAAACAATGAAATACTAAAGAAACAAAGAGCCCACGTTTTAGCCTGAGATTGAAAAGAGACGACAACATGGTGTAATCCCTTTGGCTAGAGTTGCTGACAGGGGATAACCCTTTAAAATGGCCCCTCTCTCCTATCCTGCCCTCTGTTCGTCCCCCCCAACCAGCCCCTGCCTGTCTTTCTCCATACACTGACTGACTGACTGTTACTATGCCCGTAAAGACACCTGCTCTCACAAACACAGGAAACCAACCACCAGCAGCACCTGACCAACACTGAGGAACTTTCACTAACACCTCAAATCACTCAGCGTTTCAACCTCAACCAGGAAAAAAGGTTTGTGGATTTTGATGTGGTGGCTGATGGGATGCGGCCTGAGGCAATGAAGAAGTACCCAGAGCTCAGTGTCATGGATGTGTGATCTGTTGTCAGCCGTGTTTATGTGGAATATAGTGTTGAGTCGAATGGATAAACTCTGCTGGGGGCTGGGGAAGCTATTATGTTTTTGCACTGCTGTGGACTATTACAGGCCACCATTAACTTAACATCAAAGCCCTGTGAATCACTGTTTTGTGATTATGTGTATTTTTTAACTTTTATAATTACCTATGAATTTCTTTATCTTTGTAGGAAGCATGTGCTAAGTCAACTCCAAAAGTATTTTTACATTTTTGATGTAACGGCTTTCAATTGATCACATTTTTGTCAAATTGAAGTTCTGAAATAAATATCCCAATACAGTGTATAAATTAAAGCCATTTTTAACAAGGGATAGTTAAATATGAATGAATAAATGAATGACATTTCATTATTGTCTCATACAAACAACTATGCCTGGCCCACATGTGCTTACATGACATTTAAAGCATAACTCTAACAGTCCAAAAATAAATAAAACCACTTAATTTTCACAGACTTTAGGCCTTCCTGTCTTCAAAAAAAATCCTAAATTGCTGACAAAACATGCGCTACATAATACTATAGAAATCAGAATAAATACTAATTACATAATCTATCTTGTCCTCACTTTCCAGGCTTTAGAGACAAAGTTAGCCAGCTGAAACACATCAAAATGTCATCATCTGTACACCAAAACATAAAACAATTGGACTAATTTTCTCCCAAACAGTTGGTTAAATTGCTTAAATCTATAAAGGAATAAATATATGAATTAACTGCCTTAAACTACAGCCACAGATTGTTTTGCACTGCATCATGTTTTAAATATATATATATTAAATGTGCTTTTTATTATTGTCTGTTACTACAATTACTGCTCCTTTAGAGGCATACACTGAGACCAAAAACCATCCACAGCTCATCCACAGCGGGACCAAGAACATAACCGAGCAGTCGCATCATGATTGAGAGTGACAGAGAGCTGTCGGCCATGGTGCAGGAGCTATGGGACAATGACATCAACAGACTCAAGCCTGGGAAAGACTACAGGATCTCTCTGCAGGTGCACCACACACATAGTCAAACATGAGGCTGCTGTCTTTATTAATCATGATACAACATCTTATGTGCAGTTTACGCCCTAATAGGCAGCCCTTATCATATACGACTGTAATTTAAGAGCCTAGTCTTGGTTTTGTGTGCCATCTTGATCAATAAAAATCTATAACACTCATTTTAAGACATTAAATGACTGAATGCAAAATGTATAGAAGCGTACAAGAAGAGCATTTGTTAAGATTTTTATGGGAAAACAGAAAGCAGTGAGCCTTCGTACACTATTTGTCATTTTTTTTAAAAGTTTGGGTGGTTCTCTTCCTGCTGCAGGGCAAAGCTGGAGACAGCATGGCCATCAATGATGACGACAACGATGGAGCAGGATATCCTCTGTTTACATTTGTCGATGAGAACATTTTCAAAAAGGAGACTTTTTTGGGTAAGTGCATGAAGGTAGAGAGAGTAGTACACAGAGTTGTTTTATTCGAGACCAAACGGAGTTATCTTTCTCCCAGATGAGGCAGCCTACAACTGGATTGTTTTTTTGGATGCGGCACTACTTACCGCCTCTTACACAACTGCACTGTCGGAAAAATGTTTGAATTGACAGTATCTCTTCACACATTTCACTGCGCCGTTTGCCAGTTTGATACTATCCTCTCTGGCAACCCCCTTCAGAGTAAAGCCTTTTCATCCACTCATAATCTCCTTATGACGAACAGTGACATGTTGCATAAGCACAGAGCAGGACTTCACTGCACTGGGTGCGGAAAGATGCTCCCCTACAACCACTGGCTTCTCCTTCTAATTTTCCTCCACATGATAACCACTGAAGCGTACTTCCCTACAGCAATTTTTCTCTTTTCACAGATTTATGTAGCATGTAGGAGAAAGTAGAGCCCTCGCACAGAGCTGTATAAGGGAATTTGGTTATGTAATAGTTGGTATTCAGAGTTCACCCTGAGGCCGCTGTCCCATTGAAAAAAGGGAGGATTCCTCCCTTCTTTCTATTTTTGTACTTAGTTTGTCTATAGTCTTCCACTCTGAATTGTTCATGCCAAATGTATCAAAGTAGACACACAAATCTCAGTTAAAAGACTCTATTTATACTCTAGCTTTGCTTGGTTGTCTTCATAATTGTCATTATGTCAGAAATTTCTAGGATTGGGCAGCACTTAACCATATTACGTGTTTTTGAAAAATTACATCATGTATTATTATCCCAGATTGAGTGTCTGCTTTTGTTTCCGCAGCCTTTATCTCCCTGTTGGATAACTACGAGAGTGACACCGGTGAGCCAGAAATTGTAACCCCAGAAGAGGTGGCAGAGAACCACAAGTTCCTGGACTCCATCATTCACACTTCTACTATGAAGGTACCTTTGGGGACATTTGGAAATAAACATTGTCTCATAAAGGCCTATTTCTACTCAAGAATCAATGAGAATTCATTAGAAGTTACATGGTTGTTTAAATGGCTCTTTAGATTAGATTATTACTTTTAGCACTCATAACCATATTATATTGACTAGGTCAGGTTCTGAATGTTCTTCATATTGTTCTATAGGTGTAACCCTGAAAACTCTGTTGTTCTGTTCTGTTAGCAACAATTATGGTATCTCATGCATATCTGGTAGTGGCATCTGTGCCAAACCAAGAAAACATGGCAACAATTACAGAACAGAAATCAGATCCACAATCAGTTTTGTCGGGTTGTCAGAGAGATGCAGCTCGCCTGGTCTGGCTGCAAGATTTTTGTTTTTGTTGTGTTTTGTTTGTCTTTATCTAATTTCCTTTTATTTCTGTAAAATAAACATATTTTTAGTTACAGTTCTTAGGTGCTCTTCCCTCCCTTGTCCAGCCTTAGTGTGACAAACGAGGAATCTCTGATTGGTATCTAATAGTGATCAATTAGGTTTGTGACCCTTGAAGTTTGTGAATGCTAAAATGAGTTAAGGTGCTTTTGAAGTGTAGATTATAGTATAGATGTGCCTTTGGTATTCAGCATTGTGGTTAAGATTTTGGGGAGTATCACACAAGGATTTTTTTGTTCTCTTGTTAAGACCAGTTACTTTTGTGGAGTTGTTTTGGTGAACGTTTGAAAGGAGCAGCATTAGGCCCCAGTTGTTTGGAGTTTAAGTTAAATACTGGTGTATGTAATTAGGGAATTTAGCCAGATCTCAGTTAGTAAGAGCCATGCATCCGCTTTAATAGGGAAGACTTAGTTTTGTTTAAGAGGAACCTTTGGGTATGCTACTTTGGTTTAGCGATTATGTGTTAATTGCAGGTTTGTGTGTATTTGGTAGCTGTAATTTTGTGAGGACTGAGCGTTGTGAGTTTGCTTTGTCTGCAGTCGTTTCCAGGTGAGGTTTGGGGCTGAGATCAACATTGTGGTGATCTTGATTGATCAGCAAGTAAAAAGACAGTGGATAGCGAAAATTAAAATATATTTGATAACCCTTTAACCTTTGTTAGACGACATCATTCATTTACATCTTTACTACCTTATTGTATAACACTATGAAACGATAATGTTAGCTAAGAAGTGGTTGAATTCTAATGTTAGTGACTTATGGTAACTAACTAAATGTTTTACATCAAAATATGGTCCAATGTCTCGCCAAATTTTCTCTATTGTCTTTTCAGTTGCTGATTGGTGAAATAATAAGATTCACTATATTTATACATCTTACAACCTGGAACATGGCATTATCCTTTTGATACCAGCATTTGAGCTTCCCATCCTAAGGGGGAAAAAATGTCCACTGTGTGTATGTGGCGACTGTTTAATGAAAGAAACTCTTGTTTATTTGCAGATAGCTCATAAATACCTGGTGGAGAAGAACCTCTCTCCAGCGGATGACACAAAATTCAAGGAGCAGCTGTACAGGATCTGGTTTGAGCTTTATGCAAGGAGAGGATCCAGCAAGTGGGTGAAATCTGGCACAGCACCTAAATATAACATCACTAGTGGAATCTGACACTATAATGGTAACGGTCGTACTTGGAGAAAATGGCTCTATGTAGCACATCCAGTCAGCATCACTGCGTAGAACAATACGGAAAATATTTACTTGTCGTGTTCTGGGTGGAAGCAACCACTAAACACATCTTGTACAAATGACACATGACTTAGTACAATTCGGTCATTTTCATAGATGCAAAGCTGTTAAGTTTAGAGTTATAAGGTTGCCTTTAATTGAACTGAGCTTGTGGCATGTGACCATGAGCGGATGAAATTCCACCTTTTGCAAATGTTTTTTCAGCATGTAACAAGTTAGAAGGATCCTTCTGACAAAATAACTGACAACATGGCATATCTCTGTGTCCCACCAGGCCAGACTCCTCAGGGTTTGAACACGTGTTTGTTGGAGAGACAAGAGGAAGGCGGACTGTCATCGGCTTTCACAACTGGATCCAGCTCTACCTACAAGAAAAGCTGGGACACATTGACTACAAAGGCTACAGTGTCAATGCAAATTCACCTAAGGTGCGATGCTATGTGTTTCTTGCTTTAACTATGATGGACCAAAACGGGGCAAAAATATATTTTATTTTATATTTAAAAATCCATTCAGCTTCCTTTTTGACCTGAGACCTTTTTGTTTTACTGTTTTGTCTTTTTTTAAGGCAAATTTCATACAGTTCAGTGCAGTAGTTCCATAATGTAGATCCTCCTTTGTCCCTTTTCTAAAATATCCCCCATGACACATTCATACCCACACGTTTGATAAATCTGTCATCTTTCTCCTGTCATCTCTCATCTCCTCTATTCCCCCTCAACTTGACTTGCACTCTTTCTGGTCTTGCTCTCATCTCTTGCTCTTGTCATCATTCTTGCACACTGATAAGAAACTCACATCCTGCTAAGACCAAGTTTGCTCCCACCTTTTGCAAAACACTGGGAACATGTTCTGGGATATTAGCCTGTTGGTCATGCTTATGTTGAGGTATAGACAGACTAACTTCTAATAAATTAATGAAAAGTTATATGATCTGTGCCCAAATATTTAGCATTAAATCTCTCTCTCACTGAGTGTAGCTGATGTAGCCAAGTTTATCCTGAGAACTAAGCAGAAATGAATGTCCTGTAGTTTGAAACAATGGATCATTTCCATATCCTATTTTGCATAATTTTCACTAATCCTATATGCAGTTCCCAAGTATCATGCAACGTACTGCATGCCAAAGTATTTGCATGATACACTGAACCCAAGGTACACTATTATGTTCGATATTATGATGAGCTTATGGCTGACCAACAGGGCAATCTTCTAAAAAGCTTGTGTATCGCTTCAAGTTTTATCATGCTGACACCCATCCCTCACCATCCTCTTCTCCTCTCTCTCATCACTTGCCATTTCTTTTTTTCTCTCTTACTGCAGCCTGACGAGAACAAACACATCCTGGCGCTACAGTTCAGCTGGAAGAATGGCATAAAGCCCAAAGGGAGCATCTTCATCGGCGTCAGTCCCGAGTTCGAGTTCGCGCTCTACACTCTCTGTTTCCTCAGCTCGCCCAACGAGCGTGTCAAAGTCCAGTTCAGTTTCTATGACGTGGAGATTGTTTGCCACCACTACAACCAAAAGCACATAGGCACCACGTACCCTGTGCTCCTTAAGTACCAGAGCCCTCACTAACCTGACAAGATATCAATTTGAGATATTCTTCTCCCATTTTTGAGCTTGCATACAAAGTGTCACAGGTATTGTTGTTGTCTTTTTATTTTAGATAAAGATACAATAAAACCTTACAAGACCCAGTTGCATTTGTTGTTATTTCACAATGATGCCTATTCTGAGAGAATATGTGAAGTGATACAGGATATATAAGTCATGCACTAATTACTGATGTTCTTGAATTACTCTATAATTGTGACCACATGAATCTAAAGATGGGTATTGATCTCAGTCAGTTTCTAATATTGTATGTATTAGGGGAGTAAACAAGTTGAAATTTAAAGATTTTTTTCAGTAGCTTCTGATAATTTTGCCAGGACAACAGATCATCAATATCTCACATTTATACAATTAAAAAGTCATGTTCACTGTCTCCTTTTTTTCCAAACTCAGAACAGCAACCCAACAAACAAAAGGGAGTGTAACACACCCAAGTCCAAGTCTACATCCACAAAAGCTGCATCCCCAATACAACAGTGGACTACCTGAAACCATACACGAAATAAAAACCAACAGCAAATAAACAGATAAAACAAATACAAGTAAATACAGTTACCAAATGATTACATCAGGTGCCAGTACAAAAATAATCAGACATTCCCTCTATTAAAGCCAGAAAGAAGCCCCAGACATGTTAAAAAATATCTTCTCTCCCCACCACTTTGTCTGTAACCTATTCAAAAGTAGCCATGTGGACATCACCTAAATCCATTCCTAAAAACAGCATGGGTTAGGTGATTTCCAGTGTCTCAAAATGATTCTACACCCTGTCGTTGTAGCCAGACTGACCCATAACCTCTTTTGTTCATTCACAATTAAACTGTCCAGTAACAGCCCCAGAAAACATAAAGCTGGAGATTTATCTAACTGTATTTGTAACAAATTATTCAGAAGTGTAACAACATCTTTCCATAGGTGCTCTTCTTTTCCCCACAGAAATATCATGTTCAAATTGAACTCCCTTCATGTGTTAAGTTACAGGTAAGTTGTGATTTTCCTTTTACTTTGACACACTGTAATGCATAATGTATAACTTTTACTAAGTATTTTAATTTTCCTAGCTCTGTCAGTAACGTGACTAGTCGTGGTTGTTTCACTTTGTTTCAAATGGGGGCGGTAGAGAGTTTGTTGTGGCCAATGACGTCAATCGCTTGGCGAGCAAGACCTGCGTCAATTATTGAGAATGAAGAGGAGAGCTTCCGGTTGTTTTTCACAATAAAAGAACCGGAATTTTTTTTTTAAGAATAAAAGTGATAATGGCTCTGCATGGGGAATAAATGACTGGATAACCGCTGGGTAATGATGGAGGCTACCATTACTTCACTGAAAATAGCTAAATTAATTTGCAACGCCGCTGTCTGTGACCTTTATTTCCAAACCCTAACAGGAAGCCTCGTCTTTTTAACGCTGACCAATTCTGTAGCTTGACAGCAGTTAGTGTGCGTGAACGCCGAGCAGTCGAGTGACAAACAGGATTTGATTGTGGCTGAGGACTGAGTTTACCGTTGTAACTGTTATATAATTTCGCTTTCGTCGGGTGTCCCCTCTCTTCCGTTGAGTACCAGCCGTTCACGTCGGAATGGCCGAACCGAGCGCCCGATACCAGCAGGTAACGATGACAACCCCGTCAGACCCGTTAGAGATCGAACACAGCCCGTTAACGTTGTTACCGTTGACTTTAAATGCGCTCACACTCACCTTCCTGAAAACGACCGGTTTCCTATTAAACAACGCATAATGTCATTATTGCCAGTTATGCCAGTCTTATTGAGATTAACCTCGTTTTTTTTTTTTTTGTTGCTTTAAAACCGCTCTGTAACCTGAATGCTTAACGGGTTCCTCGTTAGCATTTTTAGCTCAAGCTAACGTTACATGAATGTGAGCTCGGTTGTGCGTCGATTGGGCGATTTGTCTCTCATTGTGGGTGTCCTGCGTTAAATTATAGCTTATAACTAATTATAACTGTATGTCGGCATTGTTGAATACTAACGTTACAATGTGCAACTTAATTTAGCTGACGGTCCTCTATGTGTGTTAATGTTTGGACAGCACATGACTTACTTACTTCGTAGTGGGTGTGTTCACTGCTCATCTATCTTAGCTTAGGTTTAGGTTTAGGTTTTGGTAGGGCAGACGGTACTTTATCATGATTATTATTATGATTGTGGTCATTATTAATACTTGATTAGTTCCTGGAAACGGTTATTTTATCTGGTAGTTATTTCTTAAAGAGGAACACCAGAAATACTGGTTTGATTGACTCAGAGTTTTTAAGTTTATATGCAGTTGTTGAATTAGTAAACGTTGATTCTTCATTATTAATTCATCATTTAAAGGGATGGTGTCATGAATCCTCCATGTATGTGTAAGCATGCCCGTAGACAAATGTCTCAGGTGATCTGACTGACTTAAGTTAAGTAATTGGTTAAGTACTGGTTAGCACTGTCCCCATTTAACCTCTAATGCAATCCTACATATTGATGGTGGTTCCTTTTTTATAGGGATTTATAGGAAACTATAGGACCTGTAAAATCACGTGTCAACCACACCAAAGAGCAAACAAAGGGGGATTTTAACCTGTCATTTATACCTCTGTAAACCCATTGTTGCAGAGGTTAGTTGGTGGTATTAATTGATCAAAATGAGGTTGGTTTTAAAATCTGAATCAGGTGAAAGAAGTTTGGCTGCTGTGTCTTACGTGACAGACAAAACTGTGTCTGGGTGTTTTTAACCAATTGCCCTGCTCACGTGTTTATTACATTTAATGAGAGAAATAAGAAGTATTGTGGTGGTGGCTGCTCATTTCCTCTTTACAGTGTTTTATTTTGTGCCCTGGATCATTTCATTGATGCTCTTTCAAGGAGGCCTGGGTGTTAAGCATTGAACAAGATGCAGGAACAGTGAAGCTCTTTTATTTAAAGGCTCCTGTTTCAAATACAGAGCCAGTGCAGTGCCGCCTGTACTTTGTAGCCTTGAATAAACCAGGAAGATGTTTTTTTTTCCCTCCCCTCCCACAGCTGCCCAATGAGGAGGACCCAGAAGAGAGTCCACAGGTAGCAGCTGACGCTCCACCTCCGTACAGCAGCATCGCAGTGGACAATGCTGGTAAGACCATGACCCATCCAGATGTTTCTCAATAATAATAATAATAATAATAACTTTATTTGTATAGCACTTTTAAAAACATAGTTTACAAAGTGCTTTGACAGAACAACAAAGAACACAACAAGAATACAATTTACAGTTACAAAGGACGATAAAATAAATTGCGTGAAATAGTTGAAATAACAGAGGTAGTGATACGCATTAACAAAGTAGGTGATGGAATAAAATAAAGTGGGCGAAATAAGATAA